TACGTGAGCTATGTGGAAACGACGAATCCAAGTGTAATCATTCGATCGATCGATCGATCGATTATTTTAAATCAACAACTGACAATTTTATGACTACATTACTTTCTTGCAATTTAGATAGAATACATTAACAAGGGATTCCGTGACACGTGCTACGATGAATGCAAAGAGATCATCGATCTCTTTAATTTCTCTCTTTTACTTTTATATTATATCGAATGCAACGAATTTGTTGACGCTTATCTTTGCAATTTAATTTATATTAGCTTGTTTTAATAAACGTATGCCATCGTAAGGTACATTTATCATCGGCGGACAAGAAAATTACACGTCCATTCATCGGTTAATCCGACTAGTAATTCATTTGATATTCATGCGTACGCGGCTTGCTCGGAAGCCAATCAGCGTAAATCAGTCCTTTTTTACCTTTCTAAAATGACTTACACGTGGCGCGAGACGAAGAGAAACAGCGCTAAACCGTCACGCGCGAATCGATATCAGGATCTCTTTCTCTGAACGAGTAATTAGAGATATAGATTAAGGGGTAAGGTAATTGCAACCGTATCTCGAGGAGTAGCAGCAGCGAAGTAGCCACTTCCGTTGATGCTTTCCAAAATGCATTTTCAAGATGGATCGCATGTTGAAGAAGATGAAAGGTGCGTAGACGGTTACGTGACTCCCCCGTTAAGTTATCGTCGCGGAACGAATCGAAATGTTTGGCCCTTTTCTCGATAGCAGATTATAAGTTTGCTTTTAGTCACGCTCGACTCGCGCTACCGCGGCTTCGTTCATCGAGTGTACTTCTAGCGGGAGGCAGAAAGCGCGAATGCAACCCCGCTGCTTGCCGGTGGCCCGTAGTCTAATGATTCCGTCTGAGTGGGAAATTGACCACTAGGGTGCTGAAAACCTTCGGCCACTGGACGCCGAGAGGAACGCCGAGTGAGAAAGAGAATGAGAAAAAAATAGAAAGAGAGAGAGAAAGAGAGAGATAAAAAGATTCCATTGTCCCGTGGATGGTAGAAGTGCTTTTCAGCTTTTTTGTCAGCATGCTATGTGGATCTCTTACCGAGAACACAGTCATCTTCAAACCAAGTTCGACCAAGCTAAGTGAATTCCGATGCGAATTTTTCCGATTAAAAAAGCTTTTATTGCGATTAGGAGCAAAAATCGAAGCAATATTCGACTTAGATTACGTACGTTAAATTGATGTTGTTCTTACAATTGTTTTATGTCTAATATCATTAACATTAAGAGATATGTAATCTCTCTCTCTCTCTCTCTCTCTCTCTTTCTCTCTCCTCCTCTCACCCTTTTTCCGGAATCAATTCTAAGAAACGTTAGACCATTTGTAAATTATTATCCTTTCCTAGATTCTTCGGATAAAGTCGAAATACATGGAACGATAATCTTGACTACATTTAATGTTTGACGAAGAACGGATAGGAGTGAGATGAGAGAAAGAAAGAGAAAGAGAGAGTAAGTATGCGCATCGTTAGAGGCTGGCTGGCTGTCAAGTTGCGCAGGTGGCCGAACTGGAAGTGGATACATGGTCCATAGCGTGGGCAGCAACGACCATGGCCCCTGGAGGCAAGCGATTTCTCTTTCGCAGTTGTCTCGTTCACCTCTTTCTCGTTTTCTCCCTTTTCCTTCCCTTCTTTTTCCACCTCTTTCTCCTTTTCTTCCTTTCTCTTCCTTTCTTCCACCTTCTCCTTCCCTCCTTTCACCTTCGTTCCTCCTCCTCCTTCTCTTCTTCCTTCTCCTCCTCTTCATCTTTTTCCTTCACCTCCTCCTTCCTCTTCTTCCTCCATCTCCCCCTTTCCTTCTTCCTCCACTTCCTCTTTTCCTTCTTTCTCCACCTCTTTCTTCCCTTCTTCTTTCACTTCCTTCTTCGTTCCATCACCATCTCCTCCACCTCCTCCTCTTCCTCTTCTTCTTCTACTTCCTCCACCTCCTTCATTCCACTTCTTCCTCCTATTCTTCTTCTTTCTCTTCCTCCTCCTCCTTTTCTTCTTCTTCTTCTTCTTTTTCTTTTTTTTTTACGACTTGAAAAGGCTATTCCATCGACAACAAGTCGAAGCCCCGGAAGACTCACTCTCACGGCATACGTCAGTCATTTCTTAGGTCACTGCGGTCCTTCGTATACTTAAATATTCCTCTTGATTTAAATTCTAATGCGAGCCTTTCGTGTAGAAAAGTTACACCATATGAACAAAGTATTATAATGTCTTCTTTTAATTAAATATAATATATCTGCTGATTATCTCGTAACGTTGATTCGCCCTCATCGAAAGTTGATAATGTTGATAACGTTGAGCGTTTCAATGTTTTTCAACAAAATGAAAAGAAAACAAAAGTTATGTGAAAAGTCCAAAATTTGAAAGAAAAAACTTTGTAAAGGCATGTATCGGACACTCGTAGCGTAACAGAGGCAACGGCAGCAGGAAATTCAAAGGATCACGATAACACGTACCTACATACGACTCTCTCCGCCGAAGGGCGCAACGACGTTTAATATCTCAATGTCCGTCGGAACGTCACTGGTGAACGCCGCCTCCTCCTCCTTCGCGCCGTTGCAACTTTTCGCTCAAAATGTTGCTCTCCGACAGGATTTACCTACCTGTCGCGGATTTACGTACCGTGAGATCGGACGTTTTGCAAGTTGTTGTGCAATCCGCGTCGCAGGTTATACTCTCTCGGAATACTTGTCCGCCTCTCTCTCTCTCTCTCTCTCTCTCTCTCTCTCTCTCTCTCTCTCTCTCTCTCTCTCTTCTCTCCTCTCTCTGTGCTTGTTCCTTCGTATCTCTCGAGAAGCCAGCGGTGCTTCTCGAACGCTTCGACGCTACCAATTCCGCTAGATCGAGCGGAAATGCTGACGGCGAAATTCAGAAGTGATGAGGCGGTTCGTTGATTCGAAGGTGTATTGCTTTTTTCTTTGATTCCGAAGAGAAGTCTAGAAGAAAATCGTGTTATATACGAAGAAATGTGCTCGCGTAAGAGAAAGAAAGAAAGAGAGAAAGAGAAAGAAAGAGACGGAAAGAGAGAGAGAGAGAGAGAGAGAGAAAGAGAGAAAGAGCAGTTGGAGACGAGCGAGCGAACAAGCGAACGAGCAGGGTGACTCGCAGGGAAGGCAGGAGGTATCGAGAAGATCGGCTCAGGGCACGGCTCCGAGAGGACAAGGGTCCCACCCGCGCTCGAAACAGGGTAGAAACAATGAAGTTTTGAAGGGTTGACTTGGGCGGGGGGATCAAAGGTTGTGCGAAGGGGGCGCACGGTTTCAACAAGCCCACTGAGTGGCTATTAGGCACCCCCAAGCCAAGCAAGAGCAATTTGCTATAATCATTACTATTCAGGATCTCCGAGCTGAGAGAGGGTCCGTTTCTCTCTCTCTCTCTTCTCTCTCTCTCTCTCTCTCTCTCTCTCTCTCTCTCTCTTTCTCTCTTACTCGCTTGCTTCTCCGCCTCCACGCTTCTCTTCCGTCTCGTTCGAAGGACTATGCTCTGCGGTGGTAGCTTATGCCACCCGCCAGCCATTGTCAATGGCGAGTAATATCTGATCGCGGTTGCGCGCTCCCGCGAACACGAATATTGCTACCGACTTGTCTTCGAAACAATCTACCTTTTTTTATTTGTCCTTTTATTTCTTTTCTTTTTTCTTTTTTTTGTTTGTTTGTTTTTTTTCCTTTTTTCTCATTACTCTTCTCTTTTTTATCTTTTCTTTTCTTTTCAAACGGTCGCTCTTCTCTTCGTTCCTTTTTCAACGTTCGACATTTCTTCGATCTCCTCTTGAACTCATTCCCTTCCATATATTTTCTTTCGACTCATGCTATGGTTATGTGCTTTGACGAGATGCTTCGATGATCTCTGATTCGATCGATCAGACAAAACCGTAAATCGATCTTTTCTTCTGATCTCTGAGCGATCTTTTACTGACGCGGCCGCGTCGAATTTCCAAATAAAACTTTGAAAAACCGACATAATTATAATGGCCGACTAATTCGCCGTATCATCGGACGTAGCTTCCGTTCGTATGCCTGAAATATCATTGCAGGGAGAGCATTCGAGACGAGCCGTGCGGATCGAGGTCGCATTCAGTAGAAAATAAGAAAAAAGAGAGGAGAGAAAGAGAGGAGAACGGGGTAGGTAGCGGCGAGATAAGGAGGGTGACAGGTAGTAAAAAGAGCGTAAGAGGCAGAGGGAGGAGAGAGCGAAGGTTGGCTAGAGGGGAAGAAGGAGATGGAGCGGGAGAGAAAAGGATGCATGAATGTGCCAGCAAGAACAATTGATGAAAAACGGTAGGAGAGTGGTCGGGTTTCTTGGAAAGTCTCTCCGCGAGGTACGGCGCAAAATGAGGGGAGGCAGGTGCATCTTGGATGCAGCTGGGAGGCTGCGTGCACCGTCTTCGTCCTTGTTGTCCTCGTCTTCCTCATCTTCCTCACCTTCCTCGTCTTCTTCTTCTTCGTCGTCGCCGTCGTCTTCGTCTTCGTCTTCGTCGTTTCAGGATACTCTGCTGACGTTCTTCCGCTCTTTCTCTCTTTCTCTCTCTTTCTTTTTTTCTTTTTCATCTTACATCCTTCTTTCCTTTTTCCAAGGAACATATCCGTGGTAACACAAAGAGATGCTTTCAGGAAAATACTAAACGCGATCTAGTGCGAGTTAGGATGACATTTTTTTTGTGGAACCCTACAAGAAGGTTGGCAAGAGCTTGCCAAGAAGAAAGAGCTTCTTCTTCGAAAGATCTTGTAAACGATCTTTCAAGTGTCTCCCGTCTGGACCAATTCTTCTCTTTTACTTATTCTTCTTATTCTATTCTCGATAAAGTTGAAAGTAGTGTAAGTGGTAGAATGTATCGATGATATCGATACCACGATATCAATGATACTTAAATGATTTTAAAAGTCCGAAATAAAAAACGATTCCAACACGAATCAGAGCGAAAATGGAGGGGGGTGAGAGTGGGGGTAAGTGATAGGGGAGATTGCTGGATATTTGGTCTCTTTTTAGATCTCTCAAGACGCTCTCCTTCGTCCTTCTACTTTATATCGTTCCGGCGTAGCGTCTGGAATGGTGCTCGTACTTAAAGGTGAGTTTACTCGCTGAGGAGTGAGACTGAATCGAAAGACAGAGGGACGAGCACCGGTCTAGACTGCCGGCAGACGTTGCAAAAGGACTACGATATACACGTGGCCGCACCTAAGGATGGAAGGACGCACCGACTAGTTTCCGATGCCTTTTACTCCTGCTCGTATATCCGTTCTGCGCCTATCGACCTATGTAATGTCGTCTATCCATCTGTCCAGAGTAACCAACCATAAATCCGCTTACTAAGATTGAAAGTTCATAAACAAGGATGCGCGCAAAGAGAAAGTCTATCTTTCTAAAGAAAATCTTAATCCAACTTTTCAACAAAATATGATTAAAGAAATGCTGATTGGAAATTTCACTGGACATTTTAATTCTTTCGTTAAGAAGTTAAACTCCGCGGGATATTCAAGCTGGTACCTGTTTTCCAACAAATGAAAATAAAGAAAGAAACGAAGGTGAGGCTTTGCAAAACAAAGTAATTCTTGATCGTTTATCGGCGCCCTAAAGGGGAATTCATTGGATGACGTTGCGACGGATACGCGAAGAGAACGTTTCTGGACCCAAAGATAGAGAGAGAGAGAGAGAGAGAATGAGAGAATAAGAGAAAAAGAGAGAAAGAAAGAGAAAGAGAAAGAGAAAGAGTCTAGACCGTTGGCAGACACAGCAAAACAACGAGAGGCAGCAGTCAGGTGAGATCCCACTTCTTCTCTCACTAGATACAAGCTGGCTTGCCTCGCTTGACACCGACCAATCGACCGACCAACCGACCGACCGATCGACGTTGCGGCGCCACAAAAAAGAACGAATACGTGAATAGATTTTGTTACTTGCTTTTTACCTGGAACATTGAAATCTATCAAATGCAAAGAAAATTTATCCGATAAACGAGCAAACCATTAGAAAAGTTATTATACTGATGAGAAGTAACTAATAAGAAATATCAAATGTAAGTGAATACTTTCATGTATTTCTATAAGATATTTTGAGTAATTGTACAAACATACAAGAATGTCCTAGAGATTTTTCTTAAAGTATTGAGGAAAAAGAAAAAAGAGAGAATCTCAAGATTCTCAATGTCCATCAATGTGTGGTTTCGACGGTCTTCCTTTCGCCAAAGCAGAACACGAATTTTCTTTATTCACGCGCTTGCACGCGACCAGCCACGAATACAGAAATGCAACGAGTGGAAACGGGATTCCCATAGGCAGAAAGGGTGGCCGCGGGAGAGAAGCGGAGGAGCAATAATTCGTGTCGTAAGGTACGCCAATAAAGAAAAGAGACAGAGAAAGAGAGAGAGAGAGAGAAGCGAACAAGAGAGTAAGAGAATAAAAATAAGAGAGAGGGACGACGTAAAATGCTGGCAAGAGAGGTAAGCTGTTGTTGCCATTGGTCTTCTGTCTGTCTCTCTCTCTCTCTCTCTCTCTCTCTCTCTCTCTCTCTCTTTCTCTCTCTTCCCCTCTTCTTCCTCTTTCTCCTGTTTTCCACCTCCACCACCTTTCCTCCCCCTCTTACGACATGCATTATGCATGTGGGATGAGCCTTCGCAGTTTTGCGTATCAGATCCAACGTCACGTTAGTTTAAAATCAATGTTGCTTCTACCCTGTCTTATCAATCTTACCGAACGATCTTGGAAGCTGCACAACGATCCTAGAAACAGTGATACGTATCCTTTCTCTCTCTCTCTCTCTCTCTCTCTCTCTCTCTCCCTTTCTCTCTTTCTCTCTTTCTCTCTTTCTCTAAACTAGCCAGCTTTATGTAAAAGAAATTAGTATTAACGCAATAGAACGCTATGGAATTCAACTCGAAAGTACTCGACGGGATTACAACATAAAAACGTAGATATTGTTATTGTATCGCGCGGTTACGTTTCAGCGACGACGAGATGCCAATCTTGTCCTAACGTCCATTACTTGCCAAGGCGGCTCTATCGAAGAGGCAAACGGCTGCTTTCCATTCTACGGACGCGCAGAGAATTTGAGATTTGCATAACAACTTCGCTACAAAAGCAAACTGCCGTTACGATCGTTTGCATTTAAGCTTTACCTTTGAAACGTAGGTATATTTTCCGTCTGTCGGCCCTTTTCGCTTTACCGCGTCGAAAGAACGATACTGCATTGTTTCAGATTTTTATTCCACCGTACGTTTCGACTCGGTCCAACTCGATTTCCTCCGTGCGATAATACTACTATATCGTAGAACGTAGAGCAATGTACTCCTGACAAAGGAAAAGATTAATTAAAATTCTATTTTCGAAATCCAAAATAACTTATTCTTTTTAATTCGTTTAAATAATAATAAGATTCATCAAACCCGATAGATAATCTTTCTCTTTTATTTACAGAAGAAGCACAGATAGATTATTATCCAGCTAAAACCGATTTTTCTTCATTCTTATTAATCTATCATTTCGTTTTCCTTAACCAAGTATATACGGGTTAGCGTCATACCTCCCGTATCGCGCATTTGCTCTGCATTCCGGACCTTATAAAGAGTTCTGTCGTCTTGTTGCACCGAGGACGCAAGAGAAGCATACGTAGTCAAAGTATTGTTTGTGCACGTGTGCAACGTAAATCTCTAAACTGTAGTGATGCGAACACACCGCATGTCTTGCGGAGGTAGAACGACCGTAGATGAGTCGGAGAACGTTCGTCTCTCTCTCTCTCTCTCTTTCTCTCTCTCTCTCTCTCTCTCTCTGACTCGTCTGCTTACTTTCAAGAAAGACTCCTTTTTTATAAAATACATTCTAACAACTCAAATTGAAAATAGTTGAAAACCGTAAAAACGTAAGCGAAGTTGTTTGGAATATATTGTAAGATTTCATGGAAATTTGCTATCATAAAATTAATAGGTACAGCAATAAAAATAAACGTCGAGAGAATATATCAGTTTCTCTCTCACTCTCTCTCTCTCTCTCTCTCTCTATATATATATATATATATATATATATATATATATATGCTTTTCTATCTATTTATCTATCTCTGGTTTTGAATGCCTACATAATTACGCAACGGTATTGGTAGTGTGATGGTATATAATGTTCGCCCCAGGCTACTCACGAGTCTCGACGTAAATTCGTCGATTACACGTTTGCAATTTCGTATGCAGAGAGTACTACTACGCTGAATATGTAATGTAGCAGTGCCTGCCTATCAACGGCTACCGAAACGCGTTCCAGACTCCAATCAGCGCGCGCAACCCTCGTTACGTTGGATTTACGGATGCGAAATCGAATCCTTCCTCTCCTCCACGATATGACTATATTACGGAATTACATCGACATCGAATGATACGTTAAATTTATGAAATTTTTTTCTACTACGTATCAGGACGTTTCATATCTAACGGAGGACACAGGAAAAGGGATTTAAAGAAGGCACACACACACACAGAAAAAGAAAGAAAGAGAGAGAAAGAGACGTGCGACGATTTGAATTTCTGTATGACGAAAGACGCATAGAATAAAATCTAAACGGCTTGTATGCAACTACATATCGCGTACGAACGAATGCCAGCGATGCAGCTCACGAGCATCGGGCAAGACACGAAGGGGGAAGGGAGAGAAAAAGAGAAAGGGTAGAAGAGAGCGAGGGAGGGAGAAAACGCAGCTGCAATGTACACGGTCCTGCACCAGTTTGAGCGAGAGCAATAAAGTCTATGTTGTTGCCTAGACCCGAGGAGCGAGATTGTCGAGCCGACCATTCTTAGCGACAGCTTCCGGTGTACGCACGTCGTCACTTCCGGGCCGACACCGTGAGAGTCTAGATTCTTTAAGCGGCCCGCTATACGCCGGATGTAACAACGTGGCCGTTGCCTTCGCGGATCCCAATAATAACAGTAATAAGAAAATTATCTGTGAATAGATTTCTTTCCGCTTATTTTCTCCTTCTCCCTTCTTCTTTCCATCTTTTATTTTCTTATCTCGTGCAAAGAGAACTAGACAAAAGAACTAAAAGGAAGAATGAATGCTCCTCCAGCTATTAGACTTTGTTTTTATCGAAAGTTTCTCAGATGACATAAAGAGATCGTAGGGAAGGTATAAAAATCTTTTCACGTGAGTAACTCTAAGTAATCATAAAATAAACTACGATGCGCGCGACATAATATATTTCTCGAAAGATAAAAATATATATCGCACGCTTCTCGGATCTTATTCTGATACTCTCTTCGTATTTCCTTTCTCCTTCTTTTTTTTTTATTTTTTCTTTTTTTTCTTTCATCCCGTTTTTATATCTCTTCTTCTTCTTCCTCCTCGTCGTTGCGCCCGCATGACTCTCTCTAATTTGGTTTCTTGGCAATGTCGAAGGGAGTGAAAAAGGTTTCCGAGGCGCACGCTCGACGCTATTAGCTCGTGTTTTTCGTCACACACAAGACGTAGGTAATTACTTTGGGATCAATGCATCGTGTGGATCCAGTTTGGGCGGTTTCGATTCCGTCCTCTGTTCCTCCGCTCTTCTTCCAAATTGCATATCGAGTTGAAATTTGCGAAGGATTATTTTTCGAGCGGATTAAGTGAGAGAGAGAGAGAGAGAGAAAGAGAAAGAGAAAGAGAGACGAGAGAGGCAAGACGAGACGAAACGAGAGACGAAAAAGAAGACTCACCTTCGCCGCGAGAGTCAAATTTATTTAAAAAGCACTACAACGCTATGATTCTGCGAATGATCTTGTTCGATTCGATCAATGATACTCATGGAAGATATTTATTCGCGTACATCGCCCACCACAATCGAGTCTGATTCACACCTCTATTCGAAAACAGACGAGAATGAAATGGTTTCGCCGTTTAATAATACAAAAATATCATGTGGCTTTGAGAGAGACTAAGATATCGATAATAATAAATATAGACAATATTTATTATAAATATAGATAATATGTATTATTATCGATATCATTATGTCTATATTTCTATGGAAATATGTATATTTGGATTAACATAATAAACTCTGCGGTTATTGCTAATTGATTGTTCGAAATCGAGAAAAAGGCACGATTTCTGATAGGAACCTTCAAGCTTGTTCGAGATCCCTTTCTTTTCCATCGACGAGTCTCCTTTCGCGAAGAAGAGGATAACCCGCGGCGCAAACGAAGCAAATTGACGAATACGCCAGATACGTATCCGTTCCGTCCTGTTCCGTCGAGTTTTTGCTCGGATCCAAGTATTAAGAGCAACGTCGCACGAGACGTAATTACTCGAGGCTCAGGATCACCAGTGCCGAGGGGCATCCAGTCCGGGCAGTCTCTCTCTCTCTCTCTCTCTCTCTCTCTATCTCTTTTTCTTTCTTTCTTTCTTTCTTTCTCTTTCTCTCTCTCTCTCTCTCTATCTTTCTTTCTCTCTCTCTCTTCTTCTTGCTTCCAGCGCAAATCGACAAAATCGGCGACATCCCCGCACGACGTACACCCGTCTTCCGTCCCATTCCTGGTTGCTTCCATCGACTTTTTGCTAAGTTTCGCGCAGATTGGTGGACTTGACGACTACCATATCGAGAGTGGCCCGAAATCGAAAACGCTTTTACTCGTTGAGTATGAATGGATCGATGATTCTCATCGTGTTCTGCTACGTCCTCCAAAACAAACTATCCATTCTCTTTATTCCTCTTTTTGCCCGTTCACGTCTTCTTCATACTTGTAGGGGGAAAGAGTACTGCGATATTGATGAACTTCACGAAAGAGAATCCTTATCGAGGAAAGTACGATAGTCTACGTAGAAAATGGGACAAGATTTTCTGGAAGATATGAAAGAGAAACGAGTAAATAGCGAAGAACGGCGAAAGTGAGAGTATCCCTTTTTTTTGTTTGTTTCTTTCTTTCTTTCTGTCCTTCCTTCCTTCCTTTCACCCATATATCCTTCCGTATAGCAAGCGAAATGTGATTAAGCCCTCCTTTAAGCGCTATGGACCAGCAAAAAGCACGTCTCTCTTTTGATCGCACCCGCTGAATCATTCGCATGAAAAGCGAATCGGGTAAACGATAAATCATCGAAAATGATTAGCATTAGCTTTAACCTTTATTCCTGTTCGAATGATTCATCAACGATTATCGTTTTCTACGAAACGCGTATAACGCCCCTGTCTAACTTCGAATTCGCTTTGAACGGGTTCGCCTTTTCTCTCGTATGGATGTTGTATAGAGAGATGAGTAGCGTCCTTTGACAAACGAAGGAAGATTCGTCGTCTCCATTGAGAAAATTCTTGTCCAAGGTATATAACACACTCTGCTAAAGAAGCTCACCTGTTCTGGGCATAACGCTCCCACTCGAGATGGATCGATCGATCGCTCTTTTCTTGTTCGTTGCGGACGACGATCGAAGGCGAGATTCTGTTCGAAAGGAAGGAGTACCTTTTCTCTCTCTCTCTCTCTCTCTTTCTCTTTCTCTATCTTTCTGTTCTCTCTTGTTCGCTAGTGCTCGCGCGCACACTCAGCAGGCGCGATAGAGAGAACTCTCTATATCCAGTCACAATCACTCGCAGTCGAGGACCAACGGTCTTGTGCTTTTACTACTGTCCCCTCTCCTACCTCGTCGCTCCACCTCTTCCTCCTCCTCTTCTCCTTCATCTCCTCTCTCCAGCCGTTCCTCTCTTTCTTCCTTTCGCTGGTCACCCTCTCGGTGACTGCCATCCATCCGTCGTCCGTCGTCTGCTGCCTTAGACTCCGTCGGCGGACAGTGAATTACGTCCATTGACTGGACGTGGCCGGGCAGACGGCCTGGGCCCGACCATATACAGACTAGATTCACTTCACCGCCGTCCTGCTCTTGCAGTCTCTCTTTCTCTCTCTCTCTCTCTCTCTCTCTCTCTCTCTCTCTCTCTCTCTCTCTTTCTCTCTCTCTCTTTCTCTCTTTCATCACGTGAGTCTTTTTCTACGTTGAGTTGCTGTGTATACGATTCACGAGTTACGCGCAATTTCAAACGCGAAACGAATGAAAATAATCAAAGCTCGTTATACGTTGGTATGACTCCGTTGCACTTACTTTTACTTTCGCATCATCGTATTTATAATACGATCATCGTTTATCCAAGTAGAAGAATCCCCCTCGGTACCAACGGCATCCCGGGGAGTTATGCAGGTTCGCTGAAAGGAAAAATAATCGGAGAATCAGACTCGAAGGTAGATATATCGTCCTGAAAGATACGACCGCTCGTGTAATGCTCGTGGCACTGATCGATGCACCGTGATATATAACGCACGTCGTCTCGCCGAAGCTCTCTCTTAATGGGATCCGCACAGGCGGAAATCCAAAGCGGACCAATAAATTACGGCATTAACGAATCTTGGCCACGATCACGGCCACTGATCGGCGGATTTTCGATTTTTGTTATTCGATTGATAATTCTTCTCGCCTTGATGTCTACTAATTTTCATCCTCGTTCCTTTTTTTCATATTTATCTTTAAATTAAAAATTTTTTTCCTAATCACTTCTATTCTCGTTTCAAATGCGAACGATGATTTTCATTGACGTGCAAACATACAGAAGTAACATAGAGGAGGTCTTAGAATGGGGAGGAATTAGATCGCACGATCTTGCGGTCTGTAGTCATTTCAACGAAATCGCGACAGGTGGTAAACATCGAGATAGTCAATACGTTTGGTGGTCGCTACCAATCGTCGAAGAATGGTTCGAAGCGAATCCAAGGTCAGTTATGGCCGGATGCAGCGGCCTAGCATCGCAGCAGGATCTTTTTTATTCGTCGGCAGTAGCGGCAGCAAGGATCCAAACGTTTGAAATGAATCGTTCGACGTTCTACCATTGACATTAATTCTTACCCTGAAAATTCCATTTCTAAAGAAGACAAGACGATCTAAAATGCATTAAGGCAAGAATTTGCACTGCTACGATATCAATTAGCGTATCTCGGACGAGATTAGAAAGGAGAGGAAGTAGGATGATAAGGAGGAAAAGGGTGGAGAGAGAAGGAGGATGAGAAGGAGAAGGAAATGAAGGATGAGGATAGGTAGGAAGGAGGATTAGGGGGAGATAGTGGGGGTAGTTTCTCAGTCAGCGAACGTAAGGGTGTGCGCTGTAAGGTGAGCGCGTAGAGTATCCATTAGCCCCTATGGTGGGTGGTTGGGTGGTGGGTCCGGTACTGAAGCTATCGTCACGTGCCCAGGGGGCGGTACCGCTTTGTCGGGACTGCTGTACGGTATAAAAGAGAGACGTACCCGCGGTGCATCCACCAATTACGCTTACACCTTGCCGACGGCCAGCGTGGTGAACTCGCGAAAATCTTCCATGTGCATTTCCATTCTACGATATTTTTATTTTATTTTCCTTAAAATAAAAAAGTCGTTTCTTCGTTCTCTTAGTTACGCGCTTCGACTTCGTTCGATCTCATCCACCTTGGAAAGATAAAGGCAAGTATCGGATGCGATAACTACTGTCTTCTTTCAAAAATTCGAAGGGTGGTCGAAAATATATATCTATATCGGTGAATTTAATCCTTAATTCTTTCGCTGTCACAACATGATTCTACTTCTCTTTAGATAGCGAACGTATAAAGGATCGTTTTTTGTTAGTATAAGATCGCTTACGAAAGGGGGAAGACGGAGTGTAGGAAACGATGGAAAGAAGGGGAAAAGTATATACGAGTTTATGCGAAAAATTTATAAAGGATGAAAGATCTAATGATCAAGTACGTGATAATCAAGATCTGTCCGCGTGAATGAGTCGTAAAAATGTATTAAAAAAAGAAGGAAGATGTCCTGATGTCCCAGCAAAGTGTAAAAGGGCAATCCTGAAAAAAGGAAGGAAGTAAGGAAGGAAGGAAGAAAGGAAGGAAGGAAAGAAGGAAGGAAGAAAGGAAGAAAAGGAAAAAGAGGAGGAGGAGGAGAAGGAGGAAGAGGAGGAAGAAGAAGAAGACGAAGAAGGCAAAGTAGCGGAGGAATAGGAGGGGAGAGGCATGCAGACTGGAGGCCGGCACACGGGCAGATAGTCTCGGCGCTGCCGCCGCCACTGCCGCCGCCGCGCTCGAAGAAGGGAAGTGGGGACACATAACAGAGAGCGCGCGGCCGCGTGTGCAAGCCGCTTTTGCAGAGCTTCGCTTGGCACACGGCGAAACGTTCCGCCTTGTGCTGCTGCTGCTGACTGCTGCTGCTGCTGCTGCTGCTGCTACTGTCTGTTACTTCTACTATTATTGTTGTTGCTGCTGCTGGTGCTGACTGCCGTCTCCGTTGTCTTCGTCGTCGTCGTCGTCGTCGTCGTCGTCGTCGTCGTCGTCGTCGTCGTCGTCGTCGTCGTCGTCGTCGTCGTCGTCGTCGTCGTCGTCGTCGTCGTCGCCGTCGTCGTCGTCGTCGTCGTCGTCGTCGTCGTCGTCGTCGTCGTCGTCGTCGTCGTCGTCGCCGTCGTCGTCGTCGTCGTCGTCGTCGTCGTCGTCTGGGTTGGCCGTCATCGGTCGACAAACGATCGACTCGTCGTTCCGCTCTTTTTTCTCAGTTTGTCGGCCGGTCTCGTGCGCGCGCTCGCTTTCCCGAATATCTCCACGAATCGCATCGTCGATCTCTGATGCGCGCGCGCTCTCCTTTCGCGCGCTCTTTTCTATTAGAGAGAAAAAGAGCAAAGGAGAGAAGATGAGCAAAAGAGTGAATTTCAAATCTTCTTCCTTACGTCCTAAGTCGTAAAGCATTTTAAAAGAAAAGAAAAAGAGAAAGAGAAAGGGAAAGAGAGAAAGAAAAACAAAGTTATTAGGATCGGTGCGAACGGTGCGACAAGACGAAACGAGACGAAACGAAACGAAACGAAACGAAACGAAACGAGATTAGAAGAGAAGAGAAAAGAAGAGAAAATAAAAATAAAAAAAAAAGGAAAGAAAGAAAGAGAAAAAGGAAGAAGGGATCGGTGATGTGACGCGCGTCACGTGCTCCACGTGTCGACAATGCGATGAATTCTCCAACTCTAAGATTCTTCTTCCTTTTCTTCCGCTACGTGGCGTGCGTCGATCGATGAAGGAAGTTTTTTTTCCTCTTCATCACGGAAGACTCAGAGGAAAGTTCAAAACTGGAGATCGATCTTTCTCCGATGTGCCGATCTTGCAATACTCGTCGATTCTTCGATGTTTCCGCCCAATTTTCCTCCCGCCCGTCTTTCAATCCTGCTCCGTCTTCTTCTCTTGTCTATGCGAGAAGGATGTCGAAGACGACAATACGAGAGTCGACGATAGTGACGCTCGATGAGCGACGGGAATGAATGAATCGAAGTCGTTTTTCGATCCGATCCGGTTGGCTCGAGAGTGTGATGTGACGCGGAAAACGCTCGAGACGATTCGCTCATATGACTTTCCTATAGAAAGAGGGGAGAGGGTGTTAAGAGGGAGATACTCGGTGTTAAACTCGCGTATAAATCGTCACGATCGTGTCGTTGGTGTCGATAGGCAACGGGACGCGAATCTACCAAGGAGAAAGGATAAAAAAGGCGGAAGGTAAATAAGTAGAAGAGGCAGATGAGATGTGAAGTACGAGGACAGGAGGGTGCCGCTTCCACCGCCGCCGCCGCCGCCTCCACCACCACCGCCGTCCAAGTCGAAGTCCGAGTAGAATTAGCGGAAGTCGCAAAGCCGGAGACAGGGTCGCTGGCGATCGTCGAGGCAACGAGACGTCACGACCGAAACTGGGGCGGGCCGCCTGAGATGACGGCCCTGCGACGATCCTTCGCGGCACCCGCTTACAAGAGCTCCTTCGTCCTCCTGTCCCTCCTTGGTTTGCTGCTACGGATAAACCCTACCATTGGTAAGTCCCAAATAAATTCAAGGGAATTTTCGTATTTCAAGAATTCTTCAATGAAACAACATTCGCGACTTTGTTGTTCTTTTCTTTTTTTTTTTTTATAGTACATATAAGCTACTTTAACTTCCAAGTTTTTACTTCGAAGCAAATGAAGAAAAAAACATAACATCGATATGTAATTACATCGTCCTCGGGCATTACATCGATAATAGTACTCTTTACCGAATTATTAAAACTTTTGGATTTATTAATTTCTTTCTTCGTGTTATGTGATATAATATGAAGAAAATTTTATGACAGAAGACGGACTCGCGAAATGTGATAAAGTTTTTGTAAGGATCCACGCGGAAAAAGGCATTGAGAAAAAGACGCGCGTCTCCTCGATATTCTCCGACGGTATTGCGTGGTTCTCGTCTCTCTTCTACGACACACACAACATACAGTTTCATAAACTACGCTCACTATAATCGCTCGATGAATGTCATCGCGCTGATTTGTTCGCGCTTATGTAAGAACCACCTCGTTTACGATGACATTGGAAATCTGTGCGTCATCGTTCTCTTTACGAGCCACCCTATCTCGATTTTCAAGGATTATGCATCACCTTCCTCTTTCGAAGACTCTTTCAAAGCGTCTCCTTCGAAGACGCGCCAACAACGATCGAAACGGAGAAAGTCGAGTACGAGCCAACGTGCTGAGACGATCACGTCTATCATACTCGTTCAAGAAACGGCAAAATTACTGTCCAAACGATATTATTTTCAATATAATCACCGCAAGCTCGAATATAATGGGTTCGCTTGATCAAACGAATATTTGATATCTAAAAATATATTGACGTATCAAAATATTAGATACTTCCTTATAATCTCAGATCTTTTCAATCGTATATTATAACTTGTCGATTAACGAAAATACTAAAAGGAAAAAATCTCAAGCCGTCGGTAAATTCTCTGATACTACGACGCATCAGTCTCAACAACAGTATCATTCGATTTTTATCAATTTCTCTAGCCTTTTTATATATATTATTCGAAAGAAAACATTTATAAACTGAAATCAACGCAGATCGTATAAAGTCAAAACCCTCTGGGAAACATAATCGTAAAAGTTACAATAAAGTTCTACATGTCAAATGCGTCGAAAGGGTAAAAGAAGCACGTTTTGAAATTTCCCGGAGACGTTAATGAAGTTTTAGAGTCGGTTAATATGTGTATTCTCTTTTTTTCTCTCTTTTTCTCTCTCTTTCTCTCTCTGTATCTCACTTTCTCGTGACGCGATGTGTCGCGGTTTTCCCCTTCGGCGTTTGTCGGATGCCAGACGTGGAATTAGCGCTGAATTAATTCGCACTTTATCGTCTGAGTTGCGTCTGGGCTGCGTCTGGGTAGCGACCGAGTTGCGTTTATCGTTCATTCGAAGGCGAACAACGTTGCCAACGACGACAACAACGATGACAACGACGACGACAATAACATCAACGACGAAGACGACGACAATAACAACAACAACGACGAAGACGACGACAATAATAACAACAACGACGAAGACGACAACAATAACAACGACGACGACGACGAAGAAGACAAGAAAAACGATGAGAACAACTACGACAAGGACGATCGTTTTATGCATCTCTCCGTGCGAGCAAACCTCGACGTTGACGCGACTAATTTAATTGACACGCCAGGGATAATCGAGGATACTTGTCCGACTAGATACTTTCCTTTTATATCGGAACATTCAAGGCTAAATCTCGCACGATATCAAAGATCGAAAGCAAAGATTTACTCGTCTGAAAGAGAGAAAAATCTTTAGATCGTCGGTAATAGTCGTGTCGATCGTTGTCCTTATTCTTTTTATTATTATTTTCTTCCTCTGGGTACAGGGGTTGTTATTCGAACGATGTTGACTAGGACGCAGAAAAATTGGACTAAGGAGAGGAGGAAGGATGCTGCGAGCGAAGTAGAAGACGCAAAAGATGGTAGGAGGGGAAAAGGGAAAGAATAGGAAGAAGAGGAGAAGAAAGAGGATGAGGAGAAGAAGAAAGAGAAGGAGAAGTAGAAGGAGAAGGAGAAGAAGAAGAAGAAGGAAGGAAAGAGGAGGAAAGGAGCCGAAGAAGGTGAGGGGTGGGGGAGAAAGTCTGGTGTAATGGAGGAACCAGTTTGCGGGTCAGTGCTCCGCATCACCGAGAGGAGCTTCAGCCACCAGACGCGCACGGACGATGCCACCGAGCGAAAGGACGACGTGGTCGTCGAGGGGGAGCCAAGCCTCCTGTCCGAGAGGGAGGAGAAGAAGAGAAGAGAAGAGATAGAAAAGAGAGAGAGAAAGAGAGAGAGAGAGAGAGAGAGAGAGAGAGGCCACAGAAGAGAAGAGAGCACCTTCGGTTCGCGAGAGCGCTCGACCGAGCAGGAGGGCCCCTCGGAGGGCCGCCTCGCGGAGACCCTCGCAAAGCCCTCCTAGGGCCGCACTTGGCTCGCGCACCTACGCCTTCGCGCATCGTACGCTTGCTTACCAACCTACCTTCCTTGAGTAACAGAAAGAAAAAGAGAGAAAAAGAGAGAGAGAGAGAGAGAGAGAGAAAGAAAGAAAAAGAGAGAGAGAGGGAAACACACAACTGCGCCGCGTATACATACTTGTATAATACGTGTATCGGATTAGCGCCTCGGCTTTGTCGCCCTTAGCGAAGTGCGAGTCACATCGTAGCAAAAACAACCCGACGAGCATGGCCGAAGGCGCAGTCTGCGGTGATGGTGAGGTTGCGATAAAACACTCGAGTTATGCGCGCGCGTGCGGTTGGTTTCATATTCCAACAACGAGAGTGACTATTCGAAGAGACCGGTACGATAAAACCAATGCCGTCGTTGTACGCATTGCCATATGCCCGAGGAAATAACTCCAACGAGTATGCTTCTCGAGTATCCGCTGAATAAATTTTATACGTCCACCGAAAGGACCGCCAATGAGTATATGATTTACGGCGTAACTCGGTAGGGTTTGTTTAATTCGCTCCTTCGATAAAGCGTCTTCCTTTCTTTTTTTTCTTTCAGTTCTCTCTCTCTTTCTTTTTTTTTGTTTTTTTTTTCTTTTTATTATCATTATTTTTGTCTTCCTTTATATTTCTTCTATTTTTTACTATTTTTTCTAACATAATAAGCACCCTCGACGGTTATCGCGCGCGTGATTCAACCTAACACGTAGCCTCTCTTGTCACGGATGTGTCCTTCAGCGTCACGGGGTATTGATTATTTAGATGATTTTTCCTAGCGACTTTTACCGCTCGCGTGTCGTACGTTTCGGATCACTGAGCAATGTAATTCGTTACAATGCAAATATATGTAGCAACGACGAGTACCAATGCATCGTGTAGGCGGGTTAGAATGTCTGAAGTAAACGAGCTACGACAGAAGTATACCGCTCATTCGTTCATTCGACAAAAACCAGCACAATGAGTGGTGGCGAAAGCATCGAGCATTATAATAAATACGTTTTATTAACCTGCAATTATAAAAGTTTAATTATTTCTATCATCTCATAGGAACTTGTTCTAATTACTCATTCGTTTTTCAATCGTATCTAATTAATATCATTTTATCTAGACTTTTTTATATATTTTTCGATTGAAATCGATAACTATTCGATCGAGAAATAATCGATCGACAAACAAAGAGAGCCAGTTGATCATGATTTGCAACGGACTTGCAAGTCGGTGTGTGGTATATATATATGTATATATATATATATATATATATATATATATAAAGAGAGAGAGAGAGAGAGAGAGAAATAGTTCGACCGCTCGAAAACCATCCGCGTATACTCGAGCAACAAGTTTGGTCGATGGAAACAGAATAACCCTCCCAATACCCAATGGACTTTCTAAGGTTACTCGATCGCGAATGGAGAGACAACCGACGACAACAACAACAGCGACAAAGGCAGCAGGAGGGTAAAGAGAACGAAGAAGACGACGAAGGGATCGCCTTCGAAACGACGAGACAGAACGAAGAGAGAAGATGTAGGAGAAGAAGAAGAAGAAGAAGAAGAAGAAGAGAAGAAGAAGAAGAAGAAGAGAAGAAGAAGAAAAAGGAAAAGAAAAGTGGGAGCGAAAAGTGGAGGGAGGTACAGTCAGAGAGAAAGAGAGAGACAGAGAGAGACAAAGAGAGACAAAGAGAGAAAGTGAGAGAGAGAGAAAAGAGAGAAGCTTGTGGTTTTGGTCAACCGGTCGGTTCGCCGTCCGCAGGGACAATCTCCGGGCCTTGATGACTAACCGCGTGGTTGTCGTCTTGTACCGGCAAGAAACTTGCCTCCCTCTTGTGGCACGTCGCGAATGCCTCCAACCTGGAGATGCTCCCCTTCGAACGAGCACCGATCTTTTTACCACCTGCTGTCGAGCCATCTCTAACCACGCATCCTACACCCCCTTCTCCTCTGCCTTTTGCCTTTCCTCACAAATCGTTTATATTCTTTGTCTCTTATTTTCTCTCAATCTGATACATTGTCACGTTATAAAAATCTTGCGTATCTTATCACCTTTTTTTCTCTCTTCTCGACGAATCATGATCGTTAAAATGATTATTATGAATCGATAATCGTTAAGAAAATCATTTCGATAAATTCGTTGACCGTACGGCGAACAATATACATAAGTACAATAATGGGGTTACCTGTCCTTGACGAAGGCACAAAGAGATAATAGCATCTTACACCAGTTTGAGTCTTGATCTGAGAAAATCAACGAAGGGTGACGACGAGAGGAAGGTCTCTGTGTTAGAGTCCTCCAAGATCATTCACGTTCTACGACTTTTGCGAAATCTTTAACAACGATTCTCACGGAATTTCTTAGAAGATGGATAAAGATGGGAACGAGAGAAGCAGCTGTAACCTTGTGTAAAGTAGACTTTTTATAGTGTTTCGTGGTTCATATCATCATCTCGAGCACGGCTCGGCGAGTTTGCTCTTTTACGAGGAGAAAGGAAAGACCGCAACACGTTGCTCTAACATTC